TAATTATTAATAATTTTAATAAAAAAATATTATTTAGCTAATACTAGCTTTAATATAAAAAAAAATATTATTATTTTTTATTTTATAATTTATTATTATTTAAATAATTAAAAAGATATTATTTAATAACCTTAAAATATAAAAAAACTATATAATTTATAGTATTTTTAATTATAAATAATAATTAAATAAATATTTAGTTAATATAAATAAAAATAAAAAATATTTTACTATAGTATACCTAAATATTAATTTATTAATTAAATTTATATTATTTATACTATTATAGGCTTTTTTAACTTTATTAAACTTAATAAAAGGTAGCTTAAGTAAAAATATTAATTAAATAAAAAATTAATAATAAAAGAAAAATAAAATATTTTTTTTAAATATATTAATATATAGAATTAATTTTTTAACCGTTAAATAGGCTTTAAATAAAAGAGTATATTACTATAATAGCTTAAACAGTTTATTAAAGTTATTTAAATAAAAATAAAAAAGAAAATAGTATTAAATTTAATAAAATTAAAAATATTAAAAATAATAAAAATAGTTAAGCTAAAAGCCCCTTTTTAAAAATATAATTTACTGCTATTTTATATTTAAAATATTAAAAAATTAATATTCTTAAATAAAATATAAATTTTTTTTAAAATTATTATTAATTTTTATTTAAAATATTATAAATTTATATTAAATATTTTTATTAAAACAATATATTTTATTTTTTTTAATAATAATAAATTTTATATTAATATTAATTAAGTTTTTATTTATTTAATTTATTACTTTAATTAAAAAATCTATATTATATTTATTAATAAAAATATAAGTATTTTTAAATATAATTTTAATTTTTTTTTAATATACTACTGATTTTATAATAATAATATATTTATAAAGCTTTAAATTTTAAGTTAATAATATAGCTGTAATTTTATTTAATATATTTAATTTTTTTATTTTTTATTTTTTTATTTTTTTTTTTTATAATTAATTATATTAATATTTTTAAACTTTATAATAATAATAATTTTATTAATAATTATATTAAAAAAGTTATTTTATTTTAATTATTAATTAATTATAAATTTAATATTTTTTTTATATTTTTTATATTTTTTTTATTAAGGAAATTAAAAATAAAAAATAAGTTTTTTAATTTTTTACTAAATAAATTATAAATAATAATATTTTTTTTTAAGCTTTTATTTTTATTAACTTAAGTAAAACCTTTATTATTATTTACTTTTAAAATAAATTAAAAAATTAATTATTTATTAAAAAAAATCTTCTTTTAACTTTTAATTATAATACTTTTATTAATAAAAAGATTATTAATAATAATTTTATAATTATAAAAATAATATTTTTTTATTATTAATGCTTTATTTTATTTATTTATTTTTAACTTTTTAATATTAATATTATAACTTTTATTTAATAAGCCTTTTACTTTTTTAAATATTTATTAAAAATTCTTTAAGTTTTAATATTTATTTTTTATTATTTTAAGTTTTTAAAAATATTTTAAATAATTTATTTATAATTATATTAATAAATATTTAAAAATATATTATATAAAGATTTTTTTTATTAAATTTAATTACTTTTTATATTTTTTTTTAAATAAAAAATTAAAAAAAGATATTATTTAATTATTAAATTATTAATTTAATATTCTTTAAGAGTTACTTTATAATAAGTTTTTTATTATTTAATTTATAGTAACTTAAAATACAGTAGGATTACTTTATATTTTAAAATACCTTTTATCTTTAGCTTTACGGAGCAGTTAGTTTATTTTAAAAACTTTATTAAAGTAATAATAGTTATTTTAATTATTTTAGCCTAATTTAATAACTAGGATTATTAAGGTATAAGTTCTTATCTCCACTAATTTTGCTAGTTAAAAGTAACTGGCTAATTAGTTGGCCTGGAAAACTAGATGAGTTAGATCACACCCATAGAGACTAGTCCAGCCAGCAGTGCAGACGGAACAAATAGCCAAAGATTGAATCTGGGCCTGTACGTGTCTAAGTTCCATTCGCTTGGAACCTCCTAGTCCTGTAATTTACTTTGCCTCTTTAGGGTTGATTATGTTGCATTTTGTGACGTCAGTGGTTCACCGTGATTTTGATGCTAGTTTCTGGTCCTCACTCAGAATTCAGGCGTTCCTCTGCTATAAGTACGATAGTCCATTTGACGTGTCCTTACTTGAAGACTGCACTATCTATCACTCGACAGAAAACAAACTTCACTCATCTACCCACAAATCATTTACCAACAAAACAAATATGGCTGAGCAGAAACAAAAGGTCATCATCATCGGAAGTGGTTGGGGTGGCTATCGACTGGGCTACGGTATTGATCATAGAAAATATGACATTACCGTCATCTCGCCAGAGAACACATCTGCAGTAACTCCACTGTTGGCAAGTGCTGCTTGTGGACTGTTTGACCCTCGACTGGCGCATGAGCCCCTCCGACGAAGGGACTTTCATGCAAAGTATATCAAGGCTTTTGTCATCGACATTGATTTCAAAATTCAAACACTTATATGTCAGCCTGCATTCGATCAGCTAAAGGACGAGCGTTTTACTGTCAACTATGACAAGGTTATTCTTACACCAGGCTGTCGCAGCAACACATTCGGTATCCCTGGCGTATCAGAGAATGCCATCTTCGTCAAGAATGTCGCCAATGCGAACATGGTTCGTAGCCGATTGAACGAGATCCTTGAAATGGCTTCGTTGCCAGGGACATCAAAAGACCGCCAGAGGCAACTACTGCATGTGGCCATTGTTGGCGGAGGTCCTACCGGTATCGAGGTAGCGGCTGAGTTGACAGATTTGTTCGATGGAGACGTCGGAGTCTTGTTCCCACACCTAAAGGGCAAAGCATCTGTTTCGGTATACGATGTGGCCCCCAGATTCTGGCGCCATTCGATCAAAAACTGGCAGAATATGCGACTAGCGCCCTTACAACCGGCAAAGTCAATATCAAAACGAACACTCACATCCTCAAAGTTACCCCAGATACAATTGAAACTAAGGAGGAAGGGGCTACCGGTTATGGGATGCTCATTTGGGCTACTGGAAATAAATCCATTCCGCTGGTTGACAACCTGAACGTTCGAAAGACTGAGCAAGGCCTGAGACGAATTTTAACAGATGACCATCTCAATACTTTTGCACCGGATGGCAGTATCATGCAAAATGTATTTGCGATGGGAGATGCGGCAGATATCGAAGATGGGACCTTACCAACAACAGCCGAAGTTGCGATTCAAAAAGCGGATTATATCATCAAGGTTTTGAATCAGAACTATAAGGCTCCATTTGAATACAAGCAGCGCTCACTAGTCACATACACAGGAAGATGGGACGGCGTAGTCCAGGGCAAACGTGAATATACAGGCTACGGAGCGTGGTTGAGTTGGAGATCTGGCAATTTCTTCTGGACGCGATCATGGCGGAGAAAAATCCTGATGGGATACGCATGGTTCATGGACTGGTTGGATGGAAGAGAGATCATTCGCAATTAGTGACAATGCGGAAATCGCTCTAGTGTTCTAACATAATCTTGATAATCCGTCATCCTCTTTGCAGCTTCTTATAATAGCCTCCAACTTCAGAAACCAAATACTAGTCCAAATTATATGCCGAATCTGTATTATCGTTAATGACGAGCTCAATGAAATAACATCTTTTGTAGGCTTTTTTTTTTTTTCCCCTGTATGACAGGTTGGGCTTAGGCAGCACCTTCTTGATGAATGTCTCATCTTTTTTCTTGGGTCATGATTGCGGTGGGGGCGGCTACGCTGTGAGCCATTCTTTGCATCCTAAAGGGCACAGGAGAGCAAAGCCGGTCCTCTTTTCATGACGAGGTCCATTTATAGCAACAGGAATTACCATGATTCATGTGCCATGTGATACTAGTTACTTCTCAAGACCATAATTAGCTATCTTTACAAATCTTTGAAACGCTGATAGATTCCTGACCTGTGACTGTGATATTGGTCGTGAAACTCAACTGCAATAGTAACCAAGTGGATTCGAGAACAGTTAAACATGTAAGTAACTTATCAGTTAGCTGCCGCACCAATACTAATTTCACAGCATTCTAAATTCTCTTGTGTTTTAATTTTTCAGGGCTACAACACATACGCCGAGCAACTATCAGGTGATAAATATGGCGACCTTGCACCTATACAATTAATGGGTGTAAGTCTAAGAAAATAAAGGTTCTAGCTTGATTTTAGTGGAGTGGTCATGTCAAAACAAACGGGCACTGTAGTCACGTCGCTCATAAGTGGTAGCTGAAACCAATCTGATTGCTATGAGGCCTAGTATTAAGCATTGGCTATCCAAGTATTTCACAAGTAATATGAGCTTTTCCTTGCGCAAGGCTTAGGCCTCCATATCCAAGACACAGCGGATACAGTCACCGCTCTTCATGTGTTGAAAGGCTGTGTTGATGGTACCCAATGTTTCACGATGAGTAATATAGTCGTCAACCTTGAGGTAGCCTTCAAGGTAGTCTTCAACGAGACTCGGCAGCTGAGAGCGACCTTTGATGCCACCGAATGCACAGCCTCTCCAAACACGTCCAGTGACTAGTTGGAATGCTATTGATCAGGTTAGAAACGGGTTCTCGTACACAAAGTAGATGCGGGAGAAAACTTACGCCTAGTGGAGATCTCCTGGCCGGCTGCAGCAACGCCGATGATAATGCTTTCACCCCAACCTTTGTGGCAAGCTTCAAGAGCAGCTCGCATAACACCAACATTTCCTGTGCAATCGAAAGTGTAGTCACACCCGCCATCTGTCATCTCGATCAACTTCTCCTGGATGGTCTTTCCACCCAACTTAGTGGGGTTCACAAAGTCGGTGGCACCAAACTTGCGGGCCCAGGCTTCCTTATCATCGTTCACGTCGACAACGATGATTTTGCCGGCCTTGTTCTTGACTGCACCCTCAATCACAGACAAGCCAATGCATCCAGCTCCAAAGACGGCAATGTTAGATCCTTCCTCGACCTTGGCAGTAACGGTTGCAGCGCCATAGCCTGTAGTAATTCCGCAACCCAATAAGCACGCACGGTCAGTGGGTGCCTTAGAGTTAATGGCCACAACTGAGATGTCGGCAACAACTGTATACTGGGTGAAGGTAGACGTTCCCATGTAGTGCAGAATGTCTTTGCCGCGAGCTCGGAAGCGAGTAGTGCCATCGGGCATCACGCCTTTGCCCTGGGTAGCACGAATCTTTTGGCACAGGTTGGTCTTTCCGGACTTGCAAAATTTACACTCGCCGCATTCCGGAGTGCTTATAGTTATCAGCAAGCGTTCATACCGGTGAAGTCCTAAAGCAAAACTTACTAGAGTGCGATCACTCGGTCACCGGGCTTCACATTAGTCACGCCTTCACCAACTGACTCAACGATGCCTGCACCTTCGTGTCCAAGGATAACAGGGAAAGCTCCCTCGGGGTCCTTCCCGGAAAGAGTGTAGGCATCTGCATTGTGATCTCACATGTCAACCAATTTGAACCAAAATCAGATAATAATCTTGAAAAACGCACCCGTGTGGCAAACGCCCGTGTTGAGAATCTGAATGCGAACTTCATGAGCTTTGGGGGGGGCAACCTCGACATCCTCAATAGAGAATGGCTCTCCCGCAGCCCACGCAATAGCGGCCTAGTACAAGTCAGCCCAACAAGTTCTGAGTGAGTCTAAAAGGACCCAGAAAATTGAACAGAGGCGCATATACCTTGCAGGTGATAGTCTAAAAAATGTACGTTAGCTAAAGTTCTAGGAAACAACAATTCTGTGGTACAATGAGACGTTGCGGGTCTAATGCTCCCCATCTACTGCCGTAGATTCAAGATCTGAAGGTGTTTGGGGGTGAAATGGGTGTCTCACCTTGCCAACAGTGCTAGCCATAATGTCGGTATCAAGAAAGTTGATTTGCTTGTAGTTGATGAAGGAATACAGATGTGTTCAATTTGTACGGATATCCAAGATTGATGAAAAGTGTATTATTTCGATCGAGATAATCGAAGCTATATAGCATAGTCTCTCTCATCTTGTGCGGTGCAACCATCTACCGACATCAGAAAGAACTGTGAAAGAAATAACGTAATAGTTGCAACAACCGACGCTGATATTTGACAAGTAATAAGGCAATGCTTGAAAAGGGAACAGGCCGTGTCATTAGTTGCATGTCAAATATATGGGGGCAAAAATGTGTGAGCTGCCCTTGACCTGGATTCAGCCACCGTCGCTAAGGTTTCATAAACAGGGATTCAGCTAAAGGGATAACACACGGCGGGGGGTTCGGGAAACAATCAGCATACAGCTCCGGATAACAAGCTAATAATCATTCTGCTTTGCAATGCTGCTCATATTATTCTAACATATGCACGCATTCATTTTGCGGTCTCTTTTTCATACCCACTTGCAAGGCTGGGTCTTTGGAAAATTGTATGAACTCAATTGTATGAACTCAATGCCTACCTTAGTTGTGTACATAGTAGCTGAGTGCCTAAGCTAGACCAACGCTAAACTTGGTTACATTCCAAAAACTCATAGATCAGCGATGCGATTCCAAGTAAACTCAAATTTCATGAAACTGTTTATTGCCCCGTAACTTCCGTTAATACTGTATCTTGCCATCTTTGGGGTAGTGAGCTATGATGACTCAAGGGGCGAGATGCTCGTATTCTATCCCGCAGCTACCGTCTTTTAGAGTTCCCCCCGCTCTACCTGGCAAAATGGGCAGTGCTGCCGTTAATGCATACTATGCGCATTAGTTTGCAATGGCACGGCGGCAATTACTCGGTGTTCGGCGGGGGCGACTCTGGATGTGCTCTTAGGCTCTATCCACCATGAGTATACTTCTCGAATGGCCGATGGTCTGGATTCACGGCATCTCCATCAATCGGGATATCTTGAATGAGCAAAGCTAGAAAGTTTTACCGATGTGAATCATCTTCTGTAGGATCTCTAGAGTCTCGGGATGTGTTGGAGATTTAGATATGCACATGGAGCCTGTCGTCCGCTGCTTACTGTCGTAGAACACGTCTCCCAGATCAAAAAAAGGGGGGGAGTGGCAAATATCACAAAGGCTCCCTGAAAAACTCTGAGCATTGAGAACAGATTTCTAAGATGGAGAGATTCCACGAAAACCTCTCTCCCCCCACCCCAACATAATTACGAAGATGATAATCTCTCCATAGTTGGCAAACTTGCTGGCTCTCTTTAGCTTCACCAGACATTTAAGAGGCCATTGAATCTGGAAGGGCATATAAGATGTGGAAAGGGTTAGCTAGATTGACTTATATTCATTCCGAGGTTAACCACACTGCCTCAACAGGCCCTTGTCTCTCTCTGTTCTGGAGAGAGCAAAAAGCCGACACAATCCGAGCCCTAGTTCATTCTGCAACTACCAATTCATATCATTATACAGCCTACCTCCTTAATATTTCATATGTCACACCAGTTATCTAGAAACTATGGATATCCATGATAGGGTATTTCCATTTTTTGGCATGATAGATGTTACAGATCTACCTTCGCTCACACCCTCTGGCCTACTTTCGAATTCTTAGATGAACATAATGGCGGCAAAATGAGTAATGACTCAGGGGGAAAAGCTGTCGTGGCTTCTTAGTATGGGCTATCGAGGATGAGAAACTTTCTCCCACTGTTGGGCTAGCTTCTCCATCGTTTGTAGTTCTTTTCAGTTCTTTGAGTCTCTGAGCTTCAAATCTTCCTTGGGTCCACATAGCTTGCGTTCGGGCCACGCATCCCTGAGAAGCAATATTACAGGCTATTGAAATGCATTTGCCGAACCTAGCAGAGCTGTCTCAGTATTGAATGTATTTGGGTGAGGTATTTTGACCGAAGCAAGAGGAGCTCTCTAATGCCTTGCTCCATCTTATCACCTCTTTAAGGACCGACTGAATATCATTTCTATTGGTCATAGCTGATTACACACGGCAGGGGGCTATTAATTCACTTTTGCCGCTGCCAGATGACAAAAACATTTGCTTGCCAACTGTCAATCTTTTCCTGGTATTCCTCTTAACAAACTCATTTGCCAGCATTTCAGTTCTTTGTGGCGTCGAGCACACAGATATCTCATAAATGACTCCATTCTATGACTGGCATTCGAACTCTCAGATCTAATTCTTCAGAAGCCTTTGTTTAGCCAAGTTGGTAGTTTATTGATCAAACAGACTACTACAAAAACTATTATTACAATGGATCCACATAGAAGCATTCGTTTTTGTGACAGCTCGTATTGAATGATAAGACTTCTCCATCATCAAGCATTCATGACAAGTGCTTTTTCATAAACTCAGCAACATCCAGCGCTGCAGGGCCCACGTAGGTTTCGTTATCGTAAAAGTCCATATGCGCTCCATTTGGAACAATGACCTTCCTAGTCGCACCACCAATAAGTTTGTCCAATTTCTGGGTATGCCACAGCGATCCAGCATCAGAACCAGCAATGAGAAGAACGGGTTGCTTGAGGAAGACATCTGCGAGGTGGAACGCGTCGAAGGTGAGAACACGGGGGAAGCTAAGATACAGCATCTTGTTTTCGGCACGGGGATGCTGAGCCCGGGGCGTAAGGTAGTAGTCGCTAGCCTCCCTCATATCTCGAGGGGTCTTGTCATCAGGCTGGGGAGGGACATATGGTGCAGCTGCACGTTCAGCACCTTTCGCCTCGGCGGTGATCTGGGCTGCCGCTGCCTTCAAGGAGGCAAGTTTCTCCAATGGGTCCTCATCGCCATCCCACCCAAGCCGTGCGGAATCTCCAATGTTCACCATGCTGACGGTTGCCACAGCTTTCAATCGCTGGTCTCCCTTGGCGGCGGCAACTGCGTAGCCACCTCCGGCGCAGATGCCCAGTACGCCAATCTTGTCTGAGTCCACTGAGTCAAGATTCTGGAGGTAATCGATGACAGCGTAGACATCGCTCACACGCTCATTTGGATCTTCGAGGAAATGAGGCTCTCCTCCGCTGGCACCCTGGAAGGCCGCATCATAGGCGATTGTCGTAAAGCCTGCCTCAGCAAGCTTTTTCGCATATGTGCCTGCAGTCTGTTCCTTGACACCACCACCTGGATGGACAACAACGAGACCCGGTGTCTTCCCGGACTGCCCTGTCGGCTTGAAGAGGAGGCCGGAGAGGCTGATGGGACCTTTTTTAATCGAAATTTGGGACATGATGTAAATGAATTTTACTGTCTGGATTGTTTAGGAGCTTGATTTGCTGTTTAGATGAAATATTATGATAATGATGGATGTTTAATTCACATCTCCTGTTGCGGTTGCTGCATTTTATGTCACTGGCTTGTGTGGGAAAGGCTGATCTATCGCAGGTAGTTCGGCCGAAATATCATCGGCCGATAGACGTTTCTGGTGATGAGTTGGTGCGATGAGTACTAAATCCGAGATCGTTCGGCCGAACTCTTAACTCCAGTGTTACGATTAGTCAAACTTAAAAAGCTCCGTCGAACTAAGAATGGCTGTGCTGCTATGAATTATTAGATAGTCCGTCTGGATATGAGAATGTATAAGCAGGATCAGTGATTAGCAATTGTAAATACATGTACACATCAGATGGACGAGAACAGCTTCAAGAGCCCAGCCAACATAGTGGATGCTCCGCAGAGCCCTTTAGCGCTACCTTCACTTGAATCACAATCTCCCATCATTTGGAGTTCTCGATAAGAACATACCCACTCATATATAATTTAAATCGCATGAAGATTAAGTAGAAGGGTGGAACTAATGCAATGATTTTCGGCATCTGAACTAGCGTTTATGGTACAGAAAGAAAGGGAAACAGCAGTCGGTACTGGATACGAAGCCTCCCAGGGCAAAAATCCATGCTAAAAGTCAATAGTCTGATCAATCAAACAAATTTTCCCACAGATTGCCAAGATCTTGATCATAGATGAGTGGATCAATGATATTTAACTGATCCAACCAATACGTTTGATTGAAGTTCTCTAGGATTGGTTGGGAAAGAGTAGTCGAATAGGCAAGTCCAGAAGCCGTATTGGGCTGAGGGAGATTGGATTGCGAATCTGCAAGTGGAAGAAAGTCCTGCTGGCCGAGATCCTTTATAAGGCTATGCAATCCATCCGCCGGGGTCTCATATGAGGGTGTCCTCGCCTCAGATATGCTGCTGGATGATTCGGGAGAGCTCTTTACCCTTTGATAGCAACGCTGGATAATATCCAAGCCTGCAGCCGCTATCGCATTAGAAGTCTTCATAGCAGAGAGGCTCTCAATCGCTTGCTGAAGGCTGTTGCTGATTTTTTGCTTGGTCTCATGGCTCTGCGGCGGAAATAGAATCATGATGATGGAGAGCAGAAATGAGGCATCGACTGTGTAAAAAGCGAAGCCAAATAGGTGGTATTGGTGCTGTTTGGCATGCGCAAAGGAGGACTGCTGGCAATCCAGCGTTTCAAGTGCGGCCTGTAAGGCGGCTCTTCGACTCTCTAGATTAGAAATAATATGCGGTCGGTGTAATGTCATTAGAAACACATTTGTCATGACTTGCACTTCCTGGCGGAGCTGTGGCAGGTATGGGAAGTCTGTGTCCCAGGCAGTGTCTGGGTTCTTTAACCGTAGAAATGCAGGCAATGCTTCCACCATCGAGGTTATTTCCTCGTGGAGTGTTCTGACAATAGAGTAGTTCTTTAGACGAGGGCAGTCCGCTCTGATAGCGCGCATCTCGTGTGCTTTGCGCGCGATAGCGTATCGAAAAAGAGGTGCTGAGGCGGTTGAGATGCTCTGTCTGTCTTCGGGCCGCACTGTCATCGGTATTGCCGTAGAGGGATCACCAGGTATGTTACAATCCATGGGTGGCTTCGCATCACAGTCGTCCATGTGAATCATACGGGGGCGACCAAGAATCATAGCCATGTAACTACTGGAGTCAGATCATGAAGCTAAGCCTTTAGAGAATTGAGTCTTTATGAACCTACCCATCCCACACAAATAGGTTGATCCATGTGCGTTTCTTATTTTGTTCGTACCAGAACATACTTAGCGTTTCCTCAATATTACTTTGGCTTGACTGGTATATTTCCTTCTGGCGATGTAGTCCGAGTTCCTGGGCTTGTCTGCGAGCTAGTATTAAGAAGTTGTCACAAACGTCTAAAAAGTCATTTTATGGGGCTCAAACAACTGTACGAACCTGATAGCATTGCCGATAGTATGCCAAGATTCAACACCTCGCCCGCAGTTCTTCAACCACGATGACCTGAGAAAGTCCGCCTGGACTGCGGCGAGGGCAAACCCAGGCCGTCCCAAAAAGTATAACAATTCATCACCCAGATCGCTATACGTTCTTGAAGTAGCAAGTCCCTTTAACGACGACATAGATAAAACATCCCAATCAGGCGGTAGGAACTGTAGTGACAACGCGATGACCTGAAAAAGTAGGCAGGGGAAGTAGCGTAATTCTGTTGAAAGCTGCGTAGATTTTAGGTATTTCACGGGCTCTGTCCCTCCTTTAGGTGGCCAGCGCGAAAATAGGTCATCAAAGTATAATCGTTCAAGTACAAAATAATGCCAGTTTACCTCATTGAAAAAAAATTCAACCAGAGCTTCAGTGACATTTCTCGGGGGCAGCTTTGCGATAAGGCTTTCGGTATCTCGTTTTGATGGAACATTTTCAACGGCGTTATTGTAAGCGACTGAGACGTCTTCAAACTCTTCATTTCCAAGGATCTCACACGAGTCAGTAAATGCCTGGCAACAGGTATCCCGCGGTTTATATACCTCTTGCAAACCAACAAATGCATTATCGCCAGAAACCAGCGAATAGCCAAGATCGACAGAGTCCTGGGTTCTTTCGCGTCCACTTTCAAACGATTGGGCTGTATCTGCGCTGACTCGGATTGTTGAGACTGCCAGCTGTTGTGCCCTAGCTGGTGTGGACCTGGATATGAGAGTCAAGGTTTGTACATACATGTTGATGGTGACCGCCTCGGGGCTGAGAATAGATGAACAGCTGACGGCGACTTACGGTGGCGGAGTATTGAACATGCACTTATTAGGTATATTGCGCGCCAGACAGTTGTTACACGGATTTTTACGGTTACACTAAAAGAATATCAGACCAACAGAAAGTCCTCGGCTGTCAAAAGGGAGGGTGTGCGGAACCCTTTGTTTTCTGCGATAGCATTCCGAGCAGGAAGTCACCACTCGCCTGCGCTTCAACGACTGCTGACCGCCGCTGGTTGGACTCTTCATTGCTCTATAACAAAAGGGGAAGAAGAAGAAGAAAAGGGAAGATTGAAGATGGTATTGGTTTTCTGCAAGGCGTTGGCCTGTTGAATGAATTCAATGTTGAAATAAGAAAGAACTTGAAGGCGGAAAAGAGGACGGTGATGATGGAGGAAATGTCTTGGGTAAGGGTAATCTACGGGTGAAAAGGCCCGGAGTTAGCATCAAGCCGTACGGTTTGTTCTAAAGTACTTGGTGAAAGGGTCACCCCCAAAAGAAGCGCCAGCTATTAGACTATTACCACGCTTCTACCCCATGCAATTGTCAACATTTTGACAGTAACTAGTCTTTTGGCTTTTGGATAAATGCACGCGCTTATTTTGATATTTGGTCTAATTTACTATTCCATTGAGAACCACGCTATTGCTATGCCTAATTTACCTCGCCTAGGTGCTTCTTAAGGAAGGGGATGACTTGTTCCAGCGCGGGATCAACAGCTTCGGGTTTATCGTAAAGCATGTAGTGCGAAATTCCAGGCAATACCACTATCTTCTTATCCTTAGAACCTACCCTGCCATAGACTTCTTGGGCATCACGGTAAGCTCCGAAGCCACCTGGCTTATCACCGACTACGACCATTAGAGGTCGGGTCATGAGTACCTCCGCGTGGTTGAAGGCATCCCACGCGAGGGCAGCGCTATTGAACGAAAATAGGCCGCTAGTACAGCCATTGGCTGTTTGACCGCGGGAAGTCTTGTAGTATTCAGTGGCCTCGCAGACGTCGATATCTGTGGTAATTTTCTTGGCGTCTTCGACTGTTGGCGGCAATAAGTTGATAACAAGGCGTTGTCCACCCTGAGCCTCGATAGTACGCTGCTTAGCCATCTTTTCGAGGGCGCCAGCTGGGTCGTATTCGCCAAACGCTTCGCGGGAGAGACGACCAAAGTTAACAGGGGTGATGCCAATGCAGCATTTAAACCGATAATCTGTCATGGCTGCGTTGATGGCATAGCCGCCTCCACCGCAAATGCCAAGAACTCCAATTCGTTCAGCGTCGACATAGGGAAGTGTCTGGATGTAGTCGACGACGAAGCGGAAGTCGGAGACGCGGAACTCCGGATCCTCAATAAAGCGAGGCTCACCACCAGAGGCGCCTTGGAAAGACGCATCAAAAGCGACAACTACATAGCCTGCCTCCGCTAACGCTTTCCCATAGATGTTGCCCGAGGTTTGCTCTTTGCATGAGCCAATGGGGTGAGCGCTCACGACCGCAGGATACTTTTTGTTATTGTCAAAATTGGGTGGGAAAAGAATGTCGGCAGCAGTCTCCCAGGCAATGTTTGGGATACTGACAGTCTTGATTGTTTGAGACATTGCAGCTACCCGTGACGATTGAATAATAGTAATACTTTAGAGTTATCTGGTTTGTTTTGAAAGCGGGCATAGCATGCCATTTAAACATTACATCTATACTCGAGAGCTCCTACATCATAACCCGATCATGACGTAGCTAAGTCCGAAACTTTGTCGGAGTGCCAAATGATTTCGGCCGCAAGCACAGTGCTCCGAAACTTTCGACTGTGAGCCATCGGCTCAGAAGAAGAATGTATGTTGATCGTCTAGTTTCGGCCGAAGGCCACCAGCAAGCCACAGATTCGTCAGCGGCTGATGAGCGCTGCGTAAAGACAAAGAGCCACTGCGAAGCAATAAATCACTTCGTAGCTATGTGCTTATGTCTCCGGATCTGTGAAAATGCATAGGATAGGGACAGTATTTTAAGTAAGGCATTGTTTCAGTCATTTTGCAAACGGGCACCTAATCACCCAAGCGGGTATCAAGAAAAGATTAAAAATAAAAATAAAAATAAAAAAGGGAATCTGAAGGTTTGGAACACACAAGAAAGTAACCATACGCACACAACAGTGGCAGCTTATCCACATAAATGGTGCTCTTCTTGTTACTTTGTGTGTGAACATTCGTTTTGCGGTCCCTGCTTTTTTAATACCCGCTTGCCACCTCAATAGAGCAGGCCACAGCATAAATGGCGACTGCCGGTTGGGCATCTGGTCTAGCCGTATAAATATTCTATAGGATCGGGCCATTAATTTCCAAATCTGTACCCCGAGATCAGTTTCCTTAGTTATAATGAGATATAGTTCCGTTCGTTTGTTAATGTAGGAAGAAAAGTAACCCAGATGTGACGTGGTATCCAACCTCACATCAGCACTAAAGTTGATGATTCCACAGGCTGATATGATATTGGAGCTGAGATAAATACCATCCATGCTGTCTGGTTTGCAATTTATCTACCAAGACACACCATACACAGCAGACGCTTTCGATTCACGGCAATCGCACTTGGCTCACAATGACGTCCCAGCGGCAGCCTTCCATATCGATTTCTGCATCGCCGAGCGAAGACCCGGAAAAGATGCGCAAAGTGATGAAAAGGCATATTGAAAACGTGTTTGGAGAATCCGATGACATTGCCCGCAGCAAGGCAATGGAGCCATTATATCACGAAGATGTCACCTGGTTTCAGCCTGGCGAATATTCCGGCGAACATGCCATCATTCGCGGCAGGGATAATGTAAATGCGACTATTCAAAAAGAACAGAACCAATTCCCTGAATTTTACATTACACATGACAACGAAGGGTACATTGCTGTTACGCAAAATCTAGGCATCGTGCACTGGAAGCTGGGGCCACACGAACAGCCCGACATGATTAAAGCTTGTCATTATCTTCTATTTGAGGACGGAAAAGTGAAGGCCTTTTGGACTGCGCATCTCAAAATGCCTGATGGGTCAATGCCTTAGTTCGCAGGCAAAGTTACGGTCTTGTACCTCGCGCTCGGGAGACTAGCCAGACATTCATCGAGCACTTTAGCATATCCAAAGCAGAGTACTACCTGTTATTCCGTTACAAGATAACACCAGGCAGCCCTAGACAAAGCATTCGTGATCTAATCAAGAATAGTGAAAAACTTTCCCTAATTAGCCTCGTCTAATAGATTTTGCGTTTGCTCTGAAAAACTAGCAGCTGCGTAGAGAGTCCTCCCAAGCCTTCCATAAACGGTAAAATAAGTAGTTTATTAGGCATCGATTATTTGAGATGCATACAAGAGAAGAATAACGATAGATAGAGACTCATTTTGCATAAGTGATGGTGATGACGAGCTTTGGCGATGTACGAAATAAACAATTTAGACAAAGCATGCCTCATCCCCAACATCCCCCAGCATCATGTGAATGTGTAAACTTGTTCCACTATGATAAAAATTGCTAAAAATTTGGCGTATATAAGCCATGGAAATTGTTATAAATGCCTCTGCAATGCAAGTTGTGGTGAGTTCACGTCGAATCTTCAATGTTGTGAGAGAGAGTCAAGCTAAGCACCAAACGCGTATAGACGCAAGTTACAGCATTTATGGAGAGGAAGCCAGCAAGTGAGGTGGATTCGAATTATCCATTACATCTCATATGCTCAAAACTCCCATATGTTTCTTTTCATATAGAATGCGTTCTGTGCATTAACGGCCGACAAGGGTGCGTTGACCAATAGACAACGAAATGGCTGCACAAGTCACTCACACACGCAGCTAATGCATCTATTATGAAGATTCAACATTGAGTAAAATCACTCTCTTAATGCTGGAGAGGATAAATTATTGACCCATTATTAATGAGTGCTGCTGAGGGAATAACATCTATCTGGCGTAAGACTTCGCATGTAGCATGTTGCAATATTTCTTTAGACAAATACCAAAAATCCAACACTTAAAGTTGTGAAGCAAGTTGTATGCCTCTTCCTTCACGCGCAAACCATTTTTTTTTTTTTTTAAATTCTTATATGCTTATTTTATTAAAGTTTCCATCATTCTATCGCAGAACAGACGCGGTAGTGCGGAAGGATTGGATCCCGTCACTTATTCTTCTTTCACTGAATGTGTCCTACCCGGTAATTAGCAACATATTACTCTCGTCTGATGGACATGATCCGAACACATGCAGATAAGATGGACTAAGGTAAATATAGTATCTCTAATTATACAAAAGGGAAGTGGTCTGGATCTTTGGGGAAAGAAATAATTTATGGTGAGCCCTTCTCATGCTGGAACTGGGGTATAGCGCGTCATTGTGAGATTCTCAGAATCCAAGGTATGCCTTCTCAACAAACGCATTGCTATTCTAATCCCCTGGTCTGTATAGCCTGAGTAAGCATGCGCTCTATGCTGTTATTTTGCCATACGATCACTCTGCATGCAAAACCTGGTACATGTCCATGTCCTCTGTACTATGTACGCCCTGTCTTCAATAGATCGTCTTAGCTTACACTTGCGCTCCGCCTCTTGTCTTGTGAACACTATACCAAGAGTCGTAATCCGGCCTTGCGGAGCGATACATGTCAGTGCTTTGGATGAGTGGAGAGAAGCGGGCATCTGGCTGGTCGTATAAGTAAGAAAGACGGGTCGACATTGTGTAGTTCAAAAAAAAAAAGGTGGCTTAGTATTATCTGGATTCTATTTTCGTGAAAGATTTTTTCTAGATCATCCATGGAACGATCCGTGCATATCCCATCCCTACAATAGTATGTACGGATCAAAAGGATACACGCAAAAGCAGAAGAACGAAGGATGAATTTAGTACTTGGCTCGGGCTTTTTTGGGGCACGGCCATGCTGCGGATCTTGCTAGGTTCCTCTGCATGCACCTTGTTCCGCCCATTTTGCCTGTCGTGAGCTGAGCTGAGAGGAGCTGAGCGGAGCTCGGAGCAGCGCCCGCGGCAACGAGGCCGAGAGAGAAACATCCAAGCGGTGAGGACCAGATCACAGCATGAAGAAGAGCTGAAGATTTTAGCGCCGCGAGCATACCATGTGTGGAATGGGTGTTGATCAAGGGATGGCCCGAAACAGAACAGGAGGATCAGAGCCAGAGTCATGGACGGTGAATCTCACGACGGCCGGCCATGGTAAGTTCCCTGTTTCAAAACATGTGCTAGCCGCCTCAGAAGTGCTAGTAGCTGGTTGTTGCATGGTTATCTGGTCGCGTGCCGCCAGAGTTGGCAGCCGGCGCCAATCACATAGATCACGATGCATCACGATGGAGCGCCAGGCGGCGTTTGCTGAGTGGAAAGCCGAAGCCCGGCCCAGTCATGCTGTCACAGAATCTTGCATTGGAGCTGTGCATTGATGCATGAGGCATGAGGGGGATCCGTCACGGCGTAAATCATCTGCAATCTCAGCGGCTTGCCTCCTTTTCTCCACCCAATCTTGCAAGGGAAATGCGTCTTGCCAGGGTTCTTCGTGGTCAGCTTTTTGAAGGCCCTGCGCCTCAATGGCTATGGGATCAAATGGATGTGATTTCGCTGGGCGGCTCAGCAAGATTGCGGTTATTAATAGAGTAAATGAGGCAAACTCCACCTGCAAGAGAGGGGACTGTGGATTTTTTTTCTCCCGTCTTCTTTTCCTAACTGCGTTTGCTAGTGCCACAGTGGCACAGCGTCGATGGGTGGCTACTTGTCAGGCATGTGTCAATTGAAAGGATTTGTTTGTTTGGCCCATACCGAGTTTCTCAAAATACTAGGAGGCAGTACTACCTACCTAGCAGAGGAAGATACACGTAACATATATATAAACCACATGCATCTATCTACATATATTTCACATGCTGCTCGGCGTTTCTTCAACCGGCCCCTTATAAACAGCTCTTCTTATTACACGGGCGGCACACGTTGTTCAGCTGCTCTAGATATTCCTGGTTCGCGAAACGGAAGTTTAAGCTCTCTGTATTACCGATTCATTAAAAAACCCACCACTTTAGACGGACTGAAACCCCTCGCTAGATTTCTGGACCCTTTTCTTCCCCTGCTGGCCTGCTTGAAGCCGTTCAACTCATTCGCTCCTTTCCAATCATTCAAATCTCCAGCCGTCTGGGGTCAGGCGGTTTGGCGCCAGGCCGTCAAACAACGCAGCAGATAACATAAAACACACATGCGTCCCTCCCCCCCTTTTGACGCAGCGCGAACACCACGACGATACTGATAGCAGGCGTCACAATCTCACAACTCCAAGCACTCCATACGAGCACCCGGAGCCCCGGAAATGCATCATGGCTGACCACCTGGACCCCGGAGCATCTGCCGGCGCCGCCGACCAGCCCTCGCCGGGGCGTCGCCGGTCAAAGAACCCCCTGCGAAACATGATCCAGCATCTGACCGTCGACTCATCACCAGGAGCCAGCGACGGCTCCGGGTCGCGGCGCTCATCGCTTATTCGCCGTTTGAGCGGCCAAAAGAGCCGCAGTCCATCGGCTCACTCAGATGCCGCCACAGGCTCACGTCCAAACTCACGGCCGCCGTCGTCGCTGGGCGTAAATCGAGATCCGGCTCTCTGTGAATCATGTGCACGTCTGGCAGCTGAGATTGAAGAAACCATGGATGAGGTCGATGCCACCTTCGTCAGGCCGGCAGATGGTGCCGGAGCTGCGGGAGATTTCGAGACGAGGGAGCATTTTGTGTCTCGGCTCCGGTACCTGGAAGAGAACCGCTGGGCCACGACTTGTCCTTTGTGCAAGCTGTTCTGGGAGCTTCATGTACCAAGCCAGGAGCCCGGAGAATATAACCTGGTGGCACTGTCGACGCGCGACACGAATTACTTCATTGACTCAACCAAGATGCACAGCCAGGATCATCCAGCCAAGGGGCGAGCCAAGGGCCTCAGTCCAGCGTTTTTCTCCGTCATCTCCAAGACCAAAGGCGGCGGCCGGGATCCCGATGTGGACCCCGAATGGTTCCGAGAATCGGGCATGCTGCTCCGGACGCGGCCCGAGATGCTGGTAGATATAACCAGGGGAAGGACTGGTGCCGAGGGAAAGCTGGCAGTCCCCGATTCAACGGCATCGCCACTGCCATCACCGACATTCCGCCTGCCTGACGATGCTTCCTGGACGCAGAGAGGTATCTGGGGGAGGGAGATTGACAAGAGCGCAGACATGAATATTGTGCGAGAGTGGCTTCACTTCTGCGACACTCATCACCAGGGACGATGTTCACGGAGGCCGGTGAGGAGGGAGATTCAGGGATTCCGGCTTATTGACTGCGCTCAGTCACCGCCACAGGTGGTTGAAAGATCACTGCGTGAGGATTATGTGGCGCTGAGTTATGTATGGGGCGATGCAAATGTTGATGGCAGCTGGCCGCAAGTTGTGCGAGATGCAGCCTCAGTAGTGACCGAGCTGGGCTTCCGATATCTGTGGGTGGACCGCTTCTGTACGAGTGACGAGAGAAAGGAGGAGAAGAGGGAACATGTTCAACGGATGGACGAGATATACGGAGGAGCTGCTTTTACCATCATTGCCGCCGCTGGTGAGAATGCCATGCACGGCCTTCCTGGTGTTGGATCAACATCAAGACCTGCTCAGCCGAAATACAGATTCACCACTTCCAACATAACCCTCGTCTCAAGCCTCCAAGATCCGCGCCTCCTCATCGAGCGCTCAACGTGGTATACAAGAGGATGGACTTACCAAGAGGGACTTCTCTCTCGACGACGCCTCGTCTTCACGGAGCAGCAAATGTACTGGGAGTGCGAGGGCATGACCTGCCCCGAGGCGCTGGACCTGCCGTTTGAGTTCTACCACGACACCGAGGAGAAACGTATGTGCGACTTTGTGCGTCCTGGGCTGTTCAACGGGGTGTCATACATGGACGGTAGCTGGGAGCAGTGGAAGAAGCTACCTCAAAAGATGGGTGAGGCGAGCACGCTGAGTGTGTTCCGAGAAGTCGACCAGCATATCACGAAATACACAAGGAGGAACTTGAGTAGAGACGAGGACTCGCTGGATGCGAGCTTGGGAATATGGCGGGAGTTAGAGAGCTCCCTTGGAAGAGGCAAGTTGAGCAATTTGGTGGGTATCCCCTTATGGGCGCCACTGGCTTCTGAACCGACAGAGGAAAACAACGGCATACCAAGGACGAGACATTTATTCGCCTTATCGACGTGTTTCTGGCATCACAAAGTTGGTACACAGGCCAAGCGGAGGAATCATTTGCCGAGTTGGTCGTGGGCAGGATGGTCTGGTCCCGTGGAACTCTTCTCGTCTATTACACTCGCTTCCCCTGATCCCGAGATGAAGTTGAAGGGTAAAAAGATACTCAACCATCACTACGTTGCGGCCACACAGCTGACGAGGAATGAACCATCGTCTGTGAAGTGGACATACTCGCCTGAGATGGCAGTATTGGCACCTGATGGCTCTGTGGTATATGACTTTGGGCCGATGAGCGCTGCTGCCGGTCCTCCACGATTCCGACCCGGAAAATATGCCCTCCATGTCAAGGATCCGTTGGTGCTGGATCGCGTCAAGGCTGGCACGCACCCTGATGGCTGGCGATTTAGCGGTCTCAGCGTCGATGTACGAATGAGTCGCGGAAGCGGCTCAGAAACCGCTTGTCTAGGAGGCGATGAATGCTTGGGGAGCCTCAAAGCGTACCTGATGCGACATGGACAAGGAGAGCAAATGAGCGTGCTGTGGTTTGTTGAAGAGGCCATGGTGATGCTCTTGGTAGTAGAAAAGACTGGGAGAGGGACATGGGAACGCGTGGGGAGGGTGAGGATGGCTTTTGCTGAAGATGCAAAGGACGTGATGAGAGCTTCTGGTAGACTCGAAGGATTAGTAGGGAAATTACCTCTGAGAAGTTTAGGGCAGAATATCGTGATTGAGTAGGAAGTGATGGAGACGCTTAATGTTTCTATATAATTATATCAATGAGACTTGATCCAAACTTAGAGTTTTAATAGACAGAAAAGACGCACATCATATGTGATGGACGAATTGAGGGATAAGTGACAAGATACGATATCGCCTGTACACGAGATTGCAAAAGATCCTTTCATTCTTCTAATTTAAAGCTAGCAGTTGCTCATCCCCTAAATCTAAATATCCAGATCCAAGCTTGGTGGCAGACTGGCAGAGCCTGTTCCCCAGCTGCTCTCATTCTTGCCCAGAGTCAGCTCCAGCACACCTCCATTGGCAAAGAAGTCATGCGTGATCCAGTTCTTTGTGTACGGCTTGCCGTTGAGCTTGGCGCTCTGGATGTAAATGTTTTCGTAGCCTCCATCAAAGTTGATGTTCTTCACCGTCGCCGTCTTGCCCGTCAGTCCGTTCTTGATGCTGATCTCGGGGAAAAACGGCGGCAGAATGAGGTACACGTTCTGTCCGCCCATTGGCCACAAGCCCATCATGGTGAGAGTGCTGAAGGCACCCATTGCGCCGGAATCATCGTTGCCGGGGATACCGTTGATATTGGCATTGAACTGCGAGGGGATGTAGTGGTGGCTATAGTACGACGACAAGCCTGGGCGACCAGCGTAGTGGAACAAGAAGACGAGAAGGAAAGCTTGTTCATCACCAAAGTAGAGCAAATTGGGGGTGTTGTGGAGGAACTGGAGACGTTTGACAAAAGTGTCTGGGCCGCCAAGAGTGGTGATGAGATCGGCCATGTCGTGGGGGGCGAAGAAAGTGTAGAGCCAGCTGCTGCCCTCGTAGGTCTGAGATGGTAACATTTGGTAAGCAACACGGAAGAAAGTAGAGGTTCGACGCCATATCATGTGTCATCACCAAAGGAATATAGAAGATGTCTCACCTCGTGGCCAGTGGGCACCAAATAACAGTCGTCGAACCGGAACATGGGCGTGCACATCATGGCATCCTGGTAGCCAAAGGTTCCATTGAGATATCTCGGTTGCAAGAATCCGTAAAAGCCACTGTCGACATAGCCGGTTGAGCCATCGGGATTGGTGATGTAGACGTACGAGTTCTGGTTCGGGTTCCACATGTTCTTCCAGTTCTTGGAGCGCTTCAAGTACTTCTCAGCATCGCCCTTCTTGTTCAGAGACTCGGCCATCTCGGCGATGCAGAAGTCGTTGTAGGCATACTCGACTGTTCGAGAGATGGATCTCGAGAATGTACCGACACCTATTGATGTGTCAGAAATCCTGAATCGAACATTGATACCACAATCTTGGGGGGATCTTACCATTGGGGTCAAAGTCGTCAGTGGGGATATACCCAAGCGCCTTCCAGCTGGTTAATCCACCACGTCCCTCGATACCCCAATTCACAGGTTCATCTAGCCACATGTCAGCATCATACTCGCAGATCCGATAAAAAGAAGACCGCGGTGGACCAACCTTCAGCATCCGAAATCAGGGCTTCGTATCCAGTCTGCCAATCAACACCCTTGTGAAGGCCTTTCAAGTACGCGTCCACAAGCACAATATCAGCATTGCTACCACCTTGTGTCCAACCCTTGCAGAATGTCATGCGGCAATCCGGAAGCTTTCCTTCGTGACGGTAAATGTCAATGAGTGCACGAACCATCTGTGTTTGGCTGTACGGGTCGACAATGGTAAGAAGTGGGTGGATGCTGCGGAATGAATCCCAGATGCAGTAGAAGGAGTCATAATCTATTTGGGCTGGAGTCAGCTAGTTCCACAACTTTCGCATCTACACATACTGTTTGGAATGAAAGGGATTAGGCGGAATCATAAACTTACAAGGTTCATTGCTCTTCCACAGAGGATTCTCTCCGGTGTAGTCCTGAGGCGAGATCATGGAGCGATACAATCCTGAATAGAAGGTGGTCAGAATGTTTGGGTCCACTCCCGTGTTATCGGCCTTTACGACTCCCAACTTCTGTCGCCATGCATCCTCAGCAGTCGCCAGAGTTCCCTGGAAGTCAAACTTGGGGATCTCAGATTGAGCATTGCTGCATGCCTGGTTCACACTAATAAACGACAAGCCAACTCTGGCCAAAATCTGGTTATTGCTGGGCTTATTGAATTGGACGAACGCGCCTCCAGGCACAGGAGGACCGGTAACGGTGGCAGTTTCGGTGTTGAGCTGCTTGAAGTTGGTACCGGCCCTGTTGTTCTGGAAGACGCCAGTGTTCTTGATGCTGGCGCCTTGGAAATCGGTACAGAAGTACAGAGTATATGTACCAACTCCGAAAGACGGATTAAATGTTCCTGAGCCAGTAATTCTTCCACTGTTTGGATCGACAGAAACGCTTCCCTTGCTCCGAGAGTCGGACAGGTCAGTCAAATCGGCCAAGATTACGGGTTCATATGGGATCGCATTGTCCCCCGTTGCGTCACCACCCTTCATAGGCACAGGCTGATCCGGAAAGGTGAAACGGTACAATGCCGTCTTATTTGATACGGTCATCTCCGCCTTAATGGAAGTGTTGAGAGTAACCGAAAAGTACCCAGGGTGCGCCTCAATAGAACCATCAATCGGTAGAGACTGGCGGTCCGTTTTGGTGAAGTAGCAGTTGTCAAGGTTTCCACCAGAGCAGCCACTCTGAGGGAACAGAGGGAAGTTTCCAAGAGAAGCGCCCTTTTATCTGTCAGCATCTACTTTTCTCCCATAAGGAATGGGAGAAATTACTTACACCACCTGTTCCGCTGTCATGCATATGAGAGAAGCCAGAGACTAAACGACCATTGTTAGTCACAACACTCTAAAGATTCTATATATCACAACTTGGTAAGATGGTTAACTTACTGGGACCGCCGTCCGAGGCATAGCCGCCCGCGTTGTCATTCACAGAATCGGCTACTGCCTTGGCAAGACCAAATGGAAGAGTTGCGCCGGCAAAGACGTGTCCTGTGTGTATTATTAGTTCTACTCTTCCTTTTTTGTATGGATATCATCTTCGTCGTAGGAATAGTTACCTCCATTGCTGGTTCCAATCAGAGGATTTACATAGTCAAAGACATCGTATGATGCATGTGCGACTGACCCGTAGGCGAGTGCCACAACCAATGCTCGAGGGAGTCCCATTGTGAAGAACTTGCTCCTTTCTCGAGGAACAAGCTGAGCTGCTATGGAGACTCAAGAAAAAGCTGCTCTCTCCAGGCAAGTTCGTGGTTCTTGTGTTACGTCTCCTTCTGTATTTATATTCCAGATGATGAAGCTATAAGCCCGTCGGTTATCACGCGGAACACATCATGTTCATGGGGATAACCGCTGAAAGGGAAGTTTGATGATTGTAAATTTCAGTCCGAACATCTCTCCCCGGACTAAACTCCACAAAACTGCCGGAACCTGACCTTCGTAATGGAGTTTCGACGCGGGGAATCCCTGACATCGTCCTTGATGGCAGTCTGGTCAGTTGAAAACTACATGCATCAAGTACCAATAGCCACAACCCGGGAAAGGCGGCCGCTTTATGAATCCACACCCAACTTAGTCTTGTACGTATCTGGTATGTGCAGAGATGCTCGTCCAATCAACGCATGTCACTCTCGGCTCATGATTCTTAAAGCTTAGATCATCTAGATCTTCCTGCGATGGTGGTCAATTGCCCGTCGGGCATATTTGTGTTTCTTACAAAGACTTGTTTTGCCAAATTGAGCCTATCACCCTCCACCTATTTCGAGCACTAGCTACGTTAATGTCGGCAAAATCGGCTCCGCAATGGCAGCAGAAATGGGCGAGTGGTTTCACAGACAATCGCCTTTCATACGAGGAAGAATTCAATGGCAATTCACGCTAACTATACTGATGTCGCATTACATATGGAGAAGCCGTCGGTAATGGTTGGAGGAAATATTACCAATCCCCGCCTATCCAGCACCGACCTCCTATTACCCCGGCATTTTACACAATGTCTGGGTAAAGTGAAAGCAGATCCCGTTAATATGAGAAAGCCGTCGGAAGCAATTTTCTGAGGTGAACTTCTATTTAGTTGCACACTGATAGTACGAATTATTCGCATTTAATTTCGGGCATAAAATCGGCGATGGAATAAGGAAACAATAACCAATCTTTGTAAGTTGTCTATAATTTTAGCTAGCTATGAGATCCAGAACGATGCCACAAAAGGCTTTTGCGCCATTCATTGTACACCATGTCTTGCCTCATCTCCACTGTTACTTTCCGTAGGGAAAATATGGTAGATTATTCACGTTAATTTTCGAACTGCCTGACTTGAATTGGCGTCCTAAATGGACATACAGCCAAATAAGTGTAGCTGTTTCCAACGGAATATTTCCGAATTTAGGACTTTATAAGTAGAAGTGGGATTGTTCACCCCATCTAACGAAAGCTATATTTTTATTTGTCTATAAGATTTCTGTGGCTGTGATGTATCGAAAAATGAACAATTAACTCGAGAAATGTGTCATATTACTATGAATTTGGTAGATACTCAAAGTTGAGTGATACACACATTGTGTAAGGTCATGTATCAGATTTGCCGATTGAAATACATGGCACACAAAGGTTAACGCTGCACATGTGCTTCATGTAGCATCAGCAACCATCCAAGGCAAGTGATTAACCATTCCCCGTACTCCGAGCGACAACATTTATGCTTATCGTAAAACCCCCACCAATTTCGTGTTTCGAGGGAGATGCGAGAGCTTGATCTGAGTTGGTGATCTTAGTCGGCCGCTGATACTCTTGGTCTATGGATCATGCAGCAAACAGACAATGCAAGCAGAGGTCACATTAATCTTGATCAAAGCAATTTTCCGAGTGTGGTGCACTAACTCAAGGAAAATGCCGAATCTCCTTGCTGCGAACGGTCCTCATCTTCATCTGATGCTCTAGCCTGTTCTAGTATTTTTACCGCCAGGTGCGTCATCACTTGACCATATTTACTGGTAACAAGCGCACATATAGCCGGTGAACGCCCATCATGAGGCCCGAATTCATTAGAGAGCCAAGATTCCCAGCCCATGTAAGAGAACCGAATCGCCTCTCTAGGAATGCTTAGGCTCCAATGGCACGAGCCAGGAGTTTTCATCGCCACATCTGATAGAAAGTGTAGACGTAGACTGATTCATTTCTGCAAAGTGTTTGGACTCTTTCTTGTGCGGCTCTCTGATGCGTACAAGTGTGCATGAAACCTTGTAAATACACTCCTTAACGTACGGAGTATTTGGAGATAAGAGTGCCTATAGCCGATTGTTTCTTTGATCGGGCCGGGAGTCAAAAATAGACAGCGGCATTTCGGGATTGTTCGCCGGCAATAATACCATGTTTCGGGCTATTGTAGCGTGGGGCTGCGCCCTCCATAGGAGCTTCTCTCTTCTCTCTCATACTCGAAATCTGGGTCCAAGACGCACTAATCGTAGACTCTACAACGCGACTGGTTCTGAAATACTAGACGTATCGTAAATGTATGGATGTCAATTATTACGCGAAAGTCCAGCTATTAGTTAGGAAAAGCTCCTCTATAACAACAGTGGCAGCAAAACGACACGGAGTCTTCGACTAATGACATATTGATTGGGTATATCACTTCGAGTGCGACGTATTGAGAATCACACTGCTCTCTTCAAAATCGATTTTCTAGTTTTTAATAGACGATTTAGCATTGAAGATTGACGCTCGGAGTAAACGTATTCTGCTGAATCTAACTCAGAACGCATCATCTTGATAAGGTTAGGATTCAAAATTTAACATGCTTTATATAATTAAATACAAATTTGCCAACTATAAATAGCTCGAAGCCCGCTTGGCTAAGCGGTATAGCGTGTCACTAGTAAATACTTGACATGACAAGGTGATCAGTTCGACTCTGATAGTGGGCATCTATTTTTGCATTTTTGCATTTTTGCATTTTTGCACCTTGGCATATGTGTAAAGCCTCGCACGTATCTGCACAAGTTTCACAGGATTCAAGGCATGTTTGTTAGGTTGCACATTCTTTTTGAGGTTTCCTTTACGAAATCCAAAGAGCACTGCCACATTCTGCCTGGTTCGTGCCTGTACTAGGGAGCACCAACTGGTCCTACCATATTCTGTACTCTGCATGACATGCATCCCTTTGACTCTTTTGCATATGCACCGATATCAATGCGGGCTATCAATCCATAAATAACTCTGCAATTGGACACAAGCAACTTGTACGTGTTTAAAGCAAAAATGTTCAAATTCCTATTCTGCTACATCTCATATGGTGGAGGTCCATTTGTTCAGATTTCCCTTGGCGTTTTCACGAGCATATCCAAGCCCCCAAGGCACCATTCTGATATAGTATCAATCCGGCGATAGGAAAGGGAAGTCGATGATTTAGTGCTATATGCCCTCAGTTGTCAGATTTCTGGCTGAATAGTTTCTAAATGCACAGAGAAAAGGTTGAATGCGAAACTTACGCTGCAGCTGGAGCATTTGCAACCGTCGCAGCCGTCCTTGCAATCGCAAGAGGTACACTGGCTATTAGAGAAAACTTGTCAGCGGAATTTCTCATAAATGTTTGCTCGATGGTGAAAAACCAAAGAGAAACACCGCAGATCTGGCTGTTGGGGAATCGAGTTGCAACAAGGAGGCAGCGTTGAGCCATTGTCGGAACAAGGGGTTTCGGAAGACTCACCAAGGAGACATTTTGAAGAGGTGGATTTGAGACTGAAAGTCTTGAAAGATTTGTAGAAGTTGTTTGTTGCTTGAGTGCGATGGATGCGGTGGATGGATGGGATAAGAATGAACAAAAGCTGGGCGGCGTTCGATGCTTTTATAGACGAAAAGATGCTCTGTATAAAAGCTTCAACTCCCACGTAGTATCCACTTGTGAATACTCATGTACTATATCATGCGCCGGATAGCTTCATCAACGAAGCTTGCATGCAGTGTCATCCTGGCGCCTGCAAGCTAAAGCAGCTCCTTGGAAAGCGGCCAACAATCGACGCGAATCATCGAATGACATTCGTCAGTACCCCTCTTTGACTGCTCCAGCTGAAATCCCGTTTCTAATTTATCATGGTCATGATTCAGCTTCATTGGTTGGGGGTGGAATGAGTAGTCACCCGAGACCGAAACCAGAAGTCATCACCGGACGTTAAGCACATGTCCCACGAGTAGTGGCTGCAGGGGCACTCCCACTTACACACTAAAGCATAAGTATCTTGTAATAGTAGGTGTGGATGGGTATCGATAATGGAGTAGTGTGTACTCCGTATTGGTATCAAGTCAGGGATAAAATACAGGCACCAGTTTGATGTGACTGCAGAAAATTCACGGATACACACTCCCTACCATATTGAAAATAACGGTCTACAGTTCACTCAATTAGATTCATTGCAGAAAAATAAGAGAATACCTCGGGGATATCACGTGCGATATGGATATGGAAATTACGAGCAGGCAACTGACGAAGAAAACAAAATAGCCTGAAGAAAAATCAGTACCTTTGAAATGGTGCCCGACTGTAGCTCCTTGCTTCTAAATGTGGAGAAAGGTTGTCACTTGGTGAAGCAATAGTGAGGGAAATATGCAGCTGGGAAAAGCTTTGGCCTCATGGCAGTCACTGTACCATCACGAGGGTGAATGCCCTCCCTTGAAGGCTTGAGATAACACTGTGTTACCAACGAATCCATGAAGAATCTGTTGATGGATACAGTATTTTCTTATCAGTAGGTGACGTGGATGAAGAAACACCATGCGTTGTGGCGACTGATATAAGACACATTGTGATCCAGGCGCTGTATCACAAGCCTACCTCTGGACTTTGATGTTATGAAAACACGCATGAATTGTAGCTTGGCGTGTGGCATGGGCCAGGCATGATACGATATATTCGGCGGCCATAGCGGGAAAAATAAAACAATGATGGGCGTGGGCAGGGCTTGAGCAGGTTGTGGCGATGATCGGCTGCCTCTTCCCCGCGCGCTCGCCGGCGATTGTCGGATGTCAGCTGCCGCAGCTGACAAGAAGGAGGCACCAGGACGGTTGGATACAGGCGGAAGAGCTAGACTCTTGACTGGCCCCTGGGGCTGAAGAGTCATGCGGCCACGGAGAGCGGCATGGTTGTACAAGCCACTTCATCCGACAAGACC